TTTCCTTATATGGCTGGGATATTCCGAAGGAGGAGGTTGTGCGAAAATTTAACAATGACATTATTCCAAAGTTTTGTACGAAACTTCGATGCTTGACAACCTGGTGTACCGAAAAGAATTTCAAAGATGTGGAAAGCATCTTAAGTGCTTGTCCACATCTAGAAGCTCTTTCCCTGAGAAGCCTCCCAATTGATGGGAACGGTACTTGGTCACAGGTCGACGGAGATCCCTTGTTTCAACTGCTAGCCAACAAAGCTCCGGAAAATTTCTCCAAGCTGCGGATAGGAGGCGAGTGGAGTTTCACCCCTCAAGCTTTGGCAACATTCCTATCAATCAGGAAGATAAAAGAAAAGCCATTTACCTTCTGCGTCTGTGATTGCTATGACGAAGCCGAAGCCTTAATTGAGATTACTCCTAAACATGATGAGACCATAAGGACCTATCGAGCATGTGGTATACTAAAATACAAATATGAATTTGAATTCATCGGTGAATTTGACTAAGAGAATTTTAAGAGAGTTGATTTTTTTTTTTTTTGCAACCCATATATATAATTTTGGATCCCTTAATTTGGTTAGAATGATCAATTCAGTACGCTTATCCACGTGATGATTTTGTTAATGTGACTGTGTAAAAGAAGTCCTGTGAGGAAGGTAAAAAAAAAAAAAGAAAGAAATAGTAATAAATAATAAAGTGGCCTCTAAACTTTTTAACAGGTGGAATGCCTTAACCCGACTCTCGAAGGATTGAACTTACGTTAGGATAAAACCTTAAGGCATCATGAATCACAGATCAACATTTAATTCCCATACGTTAATATATAGTTGTACATTTAATTAGTCGCAATATAATCTCGTTTTGTATATAGATGTAATTATATACTGTACTTTTTATGTGTCCTTAACATAATGCATAGATTTTTTGATCATGATTAGGCACGTATTTAAGAATAAAAAAAATTCTTTTCATGTACAGTAAATAGAAATTTTATTGATATTTTTGTTGGCCCTCCATTTGCTGCCAATACAGCTTTGATCCTCCGTGGCAATAGTCTAAATGTCTCGCAAAGTTGATAGACACGGTAGATTAAATTCCGACCACTCCTTTAGGATGATTTTAAGCTCTTCTGTATTATATGAAAAATCTTCATGTTTTTGGATGTTATCTTTAAAATGTTTTCCATTGGATTTAAATCAAGGGACGAAATTGACTAAGCCATCATACCAATTTTTTCTTTAGTGAATCAATTTGCGATGCTTTCTGCTACACGATGCATTGTCCTACTAAACACTAATTGAGACTCTAATAATAATTGTGTTACATTAGAAATAATGCAAATCTATCTTAAACAGTTTTTCATCTTGATTTTTCTTTTCTTTATAAAATATTCTCAAATTATTACTGAATGATCATTACTCTTGAAACTTGATATTAAAACTTTGAAATCCTATCTTTCACTATTATTATACTATACATTAGTCAAAAAATATTTATTTGCATAATACTATTTGTCAAAAAAGTAAATTGTACTGTATAAACAATATGGAAGGGAAAAGACAAAACCTCTACAAGACAAGATATCACAAGTAGTAGTAGAATAAATTTCATTTGGATGTCGCAGAGCTTGGCAAAATATACAATTCTACAATTTAACAATCAAGACATAAAGAGATTACTGGAAGTGATTATACTATACTATTGATAACATTACAAGATGATAATCTATTTATAAGAAACAAGACCATTAGATATTGCACAACAAACAAAACATGCAGAATCAATCTAAAAGAAACATCCCCTAAACAATAGCAAGCCTTTCAAAAAAGTCTAAACCATAAGCTCAAAACCTTATTGGAGCCAGTACTTAATAAGGAAC